CCCGTATACTTATTCATATTGGTGATGCACCACCACATGGTCGTCGTTTTAGTAATGGCTTACCTGACAGTTATCCAAAAGGTGATCCGAGAGGCCTAACCGCTGAAAGAGTGTTAAAAAAAATGAAATCAAAAAACATTTTATATCATTTTGGAAAGATTAATGATAGTACTGAAATTATGATTGGCATATTTCGTGAAATAATTGGTGAATTTCTCGTATTTGATCTCAAGACTACGGGAGGTGACCCTTCGATATTAGTTGATCAATTCTGTAAGGCTACTTGTTCTGCCATCTTTTCTTCTGTTACATTAACCACTACTTTAAGAAACTCGAAAAGTATATACTCTTTGCATCAAATCAATCTACTCGAACCTGATTGGATTACTCTTCCAGAAAGAACAGGAAAAATTTTATGTTATGTTCCACCTAAAACTCTGGCTGAAGTTAAGGATGTCTTTATTTTATTAATTCAAACTTTACTGTTCAAAACATATCTTTTAAGCTTGCTCCACAACCATTTTCTGTTGGTGCTGAGCGATATGCTTATTACGCGCTTGATAATAAACTTGGACAAGATAATAAATTAGTGATAAAAAGTATCACAGTGTTAAAGCAAGTTCCATGGAACAATATTTAGAATCAGTGGAAATCTTTAGTATTGCTCATTTTCTTTCAACAAAATTCAATGAAGTCACCAAACGAGTTGGTGTCAAAAAGAAAGTTACATTTATTGATGTAAAAGTTATTATGTGATAAGACAGAATCCAATGTTTATTACACTGTAGAAAAATATATCAGTAATGCAGAGTTTAAAAAATTTAATGTGAATAGTGGCATAATTATAGAATTTCATTCTATCCTTGAGGCATTTGCTCATTTCACGTATCAATACACTGAAGGGTATTTGGTAGTTTATGATTTACAAGGAGTTAATCTTTGCAATGAGTTTTTATTAACAGATCCAGCCATACATTGTGTTGATTTATTAAGGTTCGGAATAACGAATCTTGGGAAGAGTGGAATTCAGAAATGTTTTTTGGCAAATCATAAATGTAATGATATTTGTGAGAAGTTAAAATTGGATGAAATTAATTGGTTATATGAGATTAATTCGTTAAATAAGATTAATTTGAAAAGAAACAAATGCAGTTATGTTTTTTGGAAAGTTGTAAATAATTTAATATGTGCAAAAAGATAATACCTGTTATTGATTTTTTTCTATAATTATTATAATTATTACCGAGTTTATACTATTATATAAATTATATACAATTTATATTATGCGTTAAGGAAGCTTAAATTGATATCAAAATAAAGATTATTATTTCATATTTCTTAAGATAGATTAAATTCTATTTATTTTTATACCTTGTTCCACAATGTATAGTAATATCGGTCATTCACTTTAATAAATACAGATACGCACATAATATATTAAGTTCTCTTTCGAGTGCGGCAAAATCACTATCATATTATCCCCTCATACATTCAGCGCACATGGCTTCTTTTATTAATCGTTCGCTGACCCAGTCTTTGAGAAGTAGATTGAGGATTGGCTTTAACAATATTTTGTCTATTGCTTCATATTTTGTCATGTCATCACATTTTACTAACCACGGCAAAAATTAAAATTAATTGACCTCCGTGGATGTGCCAACAAACAATTAATTGAAGTCAAATTATTCGGTACGTTTAATATAACCCGCTCAAATACTGTCCGGCTAATTAAACGCACTAAATGAAACAAGACGATGCTGAAACGTGGGGGTCTCAATTTAGAAATATAAGCCCTACTAAAATCCACTTATACTCTTTTATTATAAATTTTATAGTGTTTGTACTCGGCCAAAAAAACGTTACTCGGTTAACCGGCGAGTAAACCCACGGGTTACTCGGGTAATCAATAGATATACCCGAGTATAAAATCTTACTCGTTATACCCGAGTAAGTTGTCATGTGATTGGTTACATGAATTATTGTAGCCAATCAAATCTTACATTTGTTGGTGAGTCTACCCGGGTAGCTCTATTAATTACCCGGTTTTCATAATTTCTGAAACACCTGATAAAAAAATCTGCCGAATGATTTTTCGGCGTTCCGGTTAAGTTATTATTTCGGCATAATAGATACAAATTATACTGTACGTACGTACGTACACATGATTATTAACCTGCATTACAAAAATTTCGCCGACTTTGTGTGCCAGTTCTGGACAACGTTATTTACATAACAAAAATTACATATCAGAAATTTTACACGCAAATCTCCACCCTATATACTGATATATCCCTATATCCCTACGTATATATAAAAGACATATGCATTATATACTTTTATACAATAAATTTTAACATTATAAAATGTCGGCATGTTCAATATTACTAAATTTCGTTTAAATACTTGCCCAACATGTTTAGTGCTATAGTGTGTTTAGTCTGTGCGAAACATATATATTTCAAATTACAATGTAATTTATATGTATATAACGTAACATAAATTGTAATTTATCGTTATGTATCGATCATACCGAAATCAATAACTTAACCGGATCGGCCAAAAAACTATTCGGCAAATTTTATCAGGTTTTTTGGAAATTATGAAAACAGCTGTAACCGGTTAACCGCGGGTAACTTGGGTAATAACCGACCCGGGTATAATCTCTGCATATATTCACTGTTGAAAGCTAGATAATTTAGTCAATTATATGAAAGTATTCTTACCCGGGTATTATTTGGGTATACTTACTCGAGTAATACTTGGGTGTACCTACCCGGGTATTACCCGGGTGTACTGTTACGACCAAGGGAGAGACTTTTTATCCACTCGGCCAATTTAGCAGAGGATCGTAATCATTAACACTAATGAACTGACTGTTTTATTATCACAAACAGCACCAGAAAGTATCAAACAAATATCTTTATGTTGTGTCCCAGACACACTAACAGTACTAATACACTTATTTTCCTAACTAACTTAGCAAGTTCCAAACTTACTAAGAGTGCAAACAAACAACCCAAAAGACAAAAACTAACTAAAAACTAAAAGACAAATCTAAAGAACTAAAATACATATCATTCTATATATATCTATGAATAAACTTTAAAACAAGCTATAGTCTATTTACAGTCTAATTAAAGTATACTTTATACTTCGCATAAACCATTAAAATGTTACACAAAAGTATACGAAGGTATAAGAAAAGTATATAGGTTACATAGCGAAAATTTAATTGTGAAACTTTGTTGTGTAACATATTCCTCCTCTTGAAGGATGAGCTCTGCTCGAATCTGTATCACTGCAAAATTTCTGATTTTGTCACATGCTTCTTATTCGTTTAAAATTGTCAAGACCGATTCTTCAATATATTTTTGACAGGTTTTTCATTAAATCGTTCGCATCGGTTACTATGTATCACTTGAGGTACTATTTCGATGTCATTATTCCGAACTTGGATTTTGGTAGACTTAAATTTCCTGTAGTCGCAATTCATTCATAATTATCCACTTTTCTTGAAATCTTTAACTTTCTAGTTGTAAAGTGTTGTGTAGATAGATATTTTTATGAATATTCAATAGATTATAGGTGCTCCTTTCCCATACCTACTCATCATAGTCATTCTGAGTTTACTATGTTCATATATTTTTTAGTTAAGTAATAGTTCCTTTAAATATTTCATTCTATTTACATATCACCCATTCTTCAAATTTTTTTTGTGCACTCAAATTATTCTTTTTACTTATATGTTTTTTTTTTTTTTTTTTTTTTCCAAGCATCCTGTTTAATCACATGACTCTGATTCTAGTTGCCCATTCACAATTTATAAGCTCTGATTATATGTCAACAGTTAAGTATTTTGTATTGCTGTTTATTATTTATATAAATTGTATTATTAAAGTTTTTTTTTTTACTTTATTGGAATTTTTTATTTACCATTTGTATATGATCCATTGCTAAACTTCTACCTGGGTCAAATGTGACTCTTGATAATGCATCAACATTACTCATTTGCTTTCTGGGTTTATGTTTGACTATAAAATCATAACTCTGTAATATCACAATATATTAGACCATTCTGCTTGTAGGATTCAATATATTATTCAGGTAGGTTAAAGCACTGTGGTCTGTAATTAACGTGAATTGAGGACTATGCAAATACTGATAGAACTTTTTCACAACCCAAATAATTACCATATACTCCAATTCAGTAATAGTATAATTCTTTTCAGGAGGTTTTGTCCACTAGCTTGCATATTTCACAACATATTCATGGTCCTTATTATTTACTTGAGCCAGTATAGCACTCAGAGCCACATGCGACGCATCTATGTACAAAAGAAATTCTTTATCATCTTTTGGATATGCTAAAATCAGAGCTGTCGTTAAATACTTTTTTAATTCCACAAATATCTTTTCTTGTTCTTCTTTCTATTGATATGTTTTGTCATTTTTCAACAACATATATAGGGGTGCTGATATCTTTAAGAAATCTTTTATGAACTTACAATAAAACCTAACAAGTTCAAGAAAACTTTTTAAAGCTCAAACATTTAATGGTTTTGAAAGTTTTTTATAGCTGCTATCTTCAATTCAGCAGTAGCGATATCTATACTGCTAATTTTATGATCAAAATACAATATTTTTTTTTGGCCAAAGAAATATTTATCTAGATTTAATTTCAAGTTGGCTTTACAAAACCTAGACAACATGATTTCTATATAGACCATATGAGTATCGAAGTTAGAAGAGTAGATATTTATATCATCAATATATGCCAGAGCAAATTTTCATATTTCATTCTTAAGAACATGATCTATTAGTCTTTGAAATATTGCAGAAGTATTCATCAAACCAAATAGCATCATCACAAATTCATAAAAACCATATTTCATTGTGAAGGTAGTCTTTTCTTGGTCTTAAAAGTGTATTCCAACTTGCCAGAAGCTACTTGCAAGATCCAACATCATATATCACATCAAATTCTTTAAGGCTTCTAGAAGTTTATTAATTCGGGAATGTGGATAACTATTGTATTTTGTTTTTTTGTTCAGTTTTCAAAAATCAATGCAAAAGTAAAGTTTTCTATTCTTTTTCTTAACTAACATGACCAGAGACACCCACCAACTATTTGATGGCTTTATTAACCCAGTTTCTTCCAAACATTAAATTTTCTGACTGATAAATTCATGCTCAACTCGAGAGATAGGATAGAAGTGTTGCTTGATTGGAGGATCTTTCTCTGTATGGACTTCATGTTGCATGATCATCATATGACCCAACTTGTGAAGCTCACATGCAAAGAGGTCTTTATAATTTTCTAACACTTTTAATATTCATTAGTTCTGTTTTACAATTATTTTACTGACATTTAACCCACAGGTTGACTTTTCTATATTACTTAACAAGCATACTGCCCAATCATTCTCACTGCAGTTTTGTACAATACAGTTCTTACTACTATATCTATTCTTCATACACAAGCTACAAACTTTATTAAAGGCTTTTATAGAACAAAGCTCGTAAAAAAAATACTCTTGGTTGATTAATGCTTCATCTTCATTGTTATCAATACTGTTTTCATCATCATCAGAACTTTCACTATTCTCATCATTATTATCATTGGAATCAACTATTGTTTCC